CGTGAAAAAAAGTATTTCTATACAATCAATACCTCTGATAAGGCCAACAATAATCATATTTTGTAAATATTAAAGATGGCTTAGCACGGTTCTGTATATACATTGAGATGAAAAATCAATAATTTGTACGAAAAGTAAAGTACATAATTATTAATAAAACGTTACTGTATTTATTCGAATTTTGAGGGGGAGTTTATTCGAGGGAGTCGTTTATTTTTATTTATTTATTTTATTTTTTTGGTGTGAATGGTTACATACACTCAAATAAATTCCCTTAATTTCACTGTAAATGTGAACTACAACACATAGGCCTAAGTACCTTCAAAGTGTGTTATTGCGTGATCATAAGACTTATTCATCCCAACAAGGTTAGGAAAAATGTAATCCTACTGGAATAGAATATTAACAGAATGTGTTGAAAATAATGTTGCTTCCATCAGTTTTATTTTACAATCATTTAGTGGGGCGTTTATTCGAGGAAAAAATAGGCGCCCATGGGCGTTTATTCCAAATGAGGATTGGCCGGAGAAGGCGTTTATTCAAACGGGGCGTTTAAATACAATCGCTACTGTCACTACTACAGTGTTTTAAGGGCTATCGTTGCACAGCGTAGCAGTTCCCGACGCAATTGGAAGGCTCGCCGATTAAGCTCGGTTTCCATACAATTGCTCAACCTATCGGCGACAGTCGCCTTCCCGATTGCCTCAGGGCAGTTAGTTGATTCGTCTGCAACGCAATTGGCAAAGTTGAACCAGGTTCAACCTTCCCGACAACTTTCGGCGACAGTCGACCAATCAGCATCACAGAAAGCTGTCGGCGATAGCGATTGTATGGAAACCAAGCTTTACCACAGTCAACGTTGCGATGGTAATAGAGTTATAGCCGGCAAAGTTAACATTAAAGCTGACCCAATCCAATGTCAGCATTTTTGTTACTATGCAGGGCCGTAGTTTCCGGTAGCCATAATCCAAAAGTTTGTCAATGTCGAAAGGCAAAAATACTAAAATAACAACAATGCTGTGAGTAATAATATTTCTCTTGAATAAACCTGCCTGTTTTGAATTTAAAGTGTTTTGTTTTGCTTCACCATATACCTGATGGTAGTTTAAAACATATTTTTATACAAATATATTAGATTACTACTACAGAACATCATTAAAATAGGTGTATTACAAGGTAAAAATAGCAATTTTTTTCAAGGAGTCTTCAGCCCCTGAATCCTGACCGGGAGATCTTGGCTGCCCCCTAGTCCTTAGTCCCAGCCTCTGCTCGCTGCGCTCGCAAAATGACCACTTCAGTTCTCGTGGCTACGGTCCTGCTATGTTTTATGTTGAAATACGTTGTTGAAGAAGTCAAGGCAGTGTTTGAATCTCTAAAGAAGCAATTAATATAATAGTTTGGTAGTCAAACCAGGGACATTGGAGTGGGTGGTGACGTAGTCCTGGTTTTGTTATCTTGTCTTGTATCCTTTGAACGCACAATTCCTGATACGTGACGTTATTTCTGACTTGGATTACGACGTCGAAAAGAACTCGAGAGTATACGCGCTGCATTAGATGCCGCATCATCTCTTTTATGTTTCATTTGCCCTTTCCCCATGGACATTTCTGCCTTTTTAGAGACATATTTTCCTGACGAATGTGTTCTCTCCGATCCAGTAGTAGGTCTACTTGGTATACGACTACTGTTTTTATGGGAGCCCTTAGCAGCACCCTCGTCATTTATTCCTATCGACTGGTTGGTGTCTTCTCTTGTAAGAGAACGCTGTGGCGGTGGCTGTAGGTTAGGGATTGCATTTTTTCGAAATGAACTTGAGACAAATACTTCGAATTTCTGATACAACTGTCTAAAATCCCCTCGCCAGTGATGTATTCCCGGGAATGTATTTGATGACGTAGAAAAGGATGTCATTCTGGCCTCATTTTGAAGTGTATTTTTATTATAGAGACAAGTTTGAAAGTTCTTATTAATGATGTCATTACCGATTGCTTCCTGGATCCAGTTCCTCCGTACGCATTTCACTCGAACTCGGTTCACCCGCGAAACACACATGCTCCTTGGTCTTTCTTGTTCCTGTTTTGGTATTCCGTAAAAATTACCACTAGACCTGAACTCAAATTGCGTTTGTGATCTAATACCAATATTCTTATAAAATTCTTGAGAAACACTTACAGCTTGTTGTTTCCGTCTTAGCAGTTTTCTTGGGCAAGTTTCAGAGATTTGTTGACGTCCTTCATGATCTTGTAACCACTCTTGTGCGCTCTTTCCCAAAATCTTGTCCCGAAGATCTGTGGATGCCTTGCCTTCAGACATTAACAAGTTGGCACAATGGATATGACCTAGCCGACAGGCTTCCATTAAAGCGCTCATCCGCCATCTGTTCACTTGATCAACTCCCAGTTTGAATTTCAGCATTTTGTCCACAAGAGCACTCACTATTTCAGTGTTTCCAGTTGAAGATGCATAAAATAATGCTGTGTTTCCAAAACGATCACGATGATCGAGATCAAAATCGATGGCTTTGAGGAACAGTGACACCAATTGGCTTCGCTGGTAAATACAAGCATGAATTAATGCGTTTCGTCCCTGACGATCTGTTAGACCTACTTTGGCGTCATTTTCTAATAGCATTCTTGCAATACCTACTGCCCAATCTTCCTGTTCGATGAAACAGCAAACTGATAACGGAGTTCTTCTTTCAGGGTCCCGAATGTTAATAACTCTGTATCCCGAGAAGATAATGGTTCGTACATCATTGTACATGCCTTTCCTAATAGCAGCGTGCAGTTCTGGTAACAGTTCAAGCTTTTCGGTGTTCATCTTAATCGAAAACTACGGTACTAGGTCTATTTCAACTACAGTATCTCACCTCTTGAATATAATAGTCGAAACAGTCGATGGGTCGATTTAATTTTGATGATTAAGCAATGTTACGAACGTTGCTATAGCAATCTATGATTCACGTCAATGCGCTTGACTAGAAAAATCTCCGAAAAAACCCCCTTTGGATATTGGTGATTTATCGGTTCACTGAGAAATAAAAATTTCAAAAGCTATTGTCGTCGTCACAATAAGTTCTGCCATAATGAATATCCAAAACCACAAATTATGCACAAAATAGCAAAATGATGAGTACAGTAGCTATCAAAACGGTGTTTACGAATGTCATAAACAAAATCTACAGCCAGGGTCCTACGCTTGTACCGTATACGTTCATAAACACCGCATCCAGAAATAGGTGCAAATCAGTTAAGTATTAGGCGTATGCGTGACCACCACAAATTACAATCGAATCGGATTCGATATAGTAGCCTCCCCGTGGGTCACTATGTTAGCAAAATGTCATCACCAGCTATTGATGGGCCTAACTTTTCTCTGTTAAAAGTAACAATCACTGACACAGACAAAAGTGTTCAGAATATTATACTAAAGCGAGCGCATGGATATGAATATTCATTAGTTTTAGATTACGTGCAGTTTGTCGGGCGTGAAATCAAAGGTAATTTCATATTGAACGGTTGTCATCAACCTGTAATCTTAATTGCATTATTAAGGTAAATTACAGTACTAGAATATTAATATGTCGCCCTTATTAAACAAACATTAATGGAATATTGTGAAGTAGGCCTAATGCGCGATTTGGGTATGGGATTGAATTTCTCGAGTCTCTGACGACGCGATACTAATAAAATTAAATCAGACTCGTGTAGTGGGCAATTTTGGTTTTTAAGTTTCCTTTTTACCTGAAAAAATGAAACCTAGGAGGAGGATCTTGCAAATGAGGATGAAAAATCTAAAACAGTTGCTCTCAAATATACCTATTTTTATTAATTTAAATAGGTCTAATTATTAGTTAATAACAAAACCATAACCTACCGACATAAACCGAAAGGCCCACTGATTAATCTCAGATAAGAAAGTATAATACATACTCCAAGTATTGAAATACACGCCATCGTGTTGGGATTCAATATTTCGACATTAATTATGTCATCATCAGGAATGATGACATAAGCATTACGTAATAAAACAGTAAAAAGCCGACCCATTAATGATCATGATTCGAAGATCAATCACTTGTCATTAAAATTAAATTAATAGCAGTTTAGAGAAACCTTCATATTAAAGCGGTATTTTGATTAAGAAATAATGAAAGTGCCGCGGAAGATGGCAATGTGTTTATGGTCATTCTTCTACGCACTAGGCCTATAATTATTAAAACATCACGCCACAATGAACCACACTACACAACTGCTAAATTATCTGTAGACCAGCCTTTATTGTAACCCGGCCGACGTCGCATATGACAATTTCAAATACTGCATATAGGAAGAGGGCAGAGATACAGTTGTTTTACAGAAAAGCTAAAAGGTAAGAAATGCTAGCGATGTATATTTTTCATAATTTATTATACAAAGTACTGTATTTACAAAATAGACAACTCTATGCAAATTATAGAGGGCAGCATTATAGCAATATTAGATAAACGATAAAGACATACAGCTGGCGAAACTAGCGTAATAAATACAGTAATAAATATTTTAAGTTAGTCTACAAAGTGCGATTAGTGTTTTTAATATTAAAAGCGATATTCCAGAAAAGCTGTTAGAAGGCAAGGTTTCACTAGTTAAACCTGAGTCAAGCAAGCAATAATGACTGTGAATGAATATATTTAGAAAATGTTGGAACTCCGCTAACCAAGCCATGGAATACAATGAAATGATTTTTTTTAAAAATAGGGATCGTTTACATCAAGGTATACAAGAAAAGTAAATAAATATATATACCAAAGAGGCGTTATATATACGAACAAACATGTTAGTTTACCAAAAGAATTATTTAAATTACCAAGCAGTCACCCTATTTATTATTTTATTCCCCAAACCACTTATGCCGCCTGATCAAAATTATATTAAAAAAAATGACATTTAAATCTAAATCACAAAAATGTGTTTATAATAATTATAAAATAAACATTATATAAAATATAAACATTCACTTTATATTTACATTACCAATTAACATATTGCAGACACAATTTGTACTAATGCTTAGCAAAACATCACTTATTAGCAAAAATGGCTTCAAAATAATCATGCACAAATTTATTCAAAATATTTGATGAGTCTAATATACCTAAAAAATATTTCTATGAAACAATTCCCTTGCTGTCTAACTTCATAATATTTCAAATGAAGGTTTCAAAAATGTTACTATTAATTGCAATATTAAAGTTAACTGTTTGGAAAATAAAATTGCAAAAATTATATTTAATTCTACATTTAGATTAGATTGCAGACATAACATACAAAAATTGTGAAAATCTGACACCTAGCAACTAGAATTATTGTTTCAACTTTCTGACCTCCACATTCTCACAGGTGAATATCACCAACAGAGAGGGCTGCAGACACACAATTGTCATTTCTTTGCTACATATAGACATCTTAAACCATTATTACTTGACTATAATCCATAAAATGCCATTTCAAGTCTGCATTGAATAATATACCAATGTGCTTAGGGCTGCTGACTCTTGAGTTTCAGCATTCAGCAAAGAACATAAATAGCAGAAGAATACTGAAGCTCTTCGCGTAATTTGTATTAAATTCGATGGAACGTGCGCCATCTCTAGAATGGAGGAAATTATTTCATGGAGTGGAGAAGCTAATGAAAACAAACGAACTAGAGAGTTATCAACCAATCAAACCCATCAAAGTTATAGCGCCGCCGCTCGAATGGAGGAAAATTGCTCTCATGGACGCCCTCATGGGGTGTTCCACTATATCGCGAACTGCTCTATCTTTTGCTATTTATTATCTTTGGTTTCAGTAATTTATTTGCTTTAGCTGTTTCTCGTTTTGTTGCTTCTTAAAGTGTATATGGTTATATATGAACAGAAAAATGTTGCTTAGTAAACATACACAGAATTAGTATTCACACACTAGTATCAATTTCTTTCATTATGATAATTCTTTTCAGTGATTTAATTTATTAGCCAGTTTAAAATGAACCCAGAAAAAGGATGAGAGCCAGAATGCAGTATGATGCAATATTTTATATAAATAGCACATAATCAATAAAATTAAGTTTATAAATATTTAATAAAATGTTTAATTATTGAGCCTGAGTCTTATGTCATAAAAACACTTTTTACTATAATGCTAGTTACATAATGACCAATATTAAATATAACCAGTCACTCAACGCTTTGTCCACACTGTCAAATTTTCTTTGACATGAAACTATTGTATGTCCATATATAGTCATGATGTGCCCATATATAGTCATGATGTGCCCATATATAGTCATGATGTGCCCATATATAGTCATGATGTACCCATATATGTCCAGGATGTCATAATGACCATATTTAGGCATGTCACATGATTTTGTCAAAAAAATAAATTGATGGTCTAGATAGGGCGTACATACATAGCAGAATTTCAATTTTAAACATAATTAGAATTTGAGTGACCATTTGAAAAGATTGCCTCTCTAGTCCTATAAGCTTTCATATGCACCAAGTCTGCATCACTTGTGTACACAGGTAACATCTGTTTATTGCAACGGTCATCATACTTTGCCTGGGAAAAGAAAAACAATAAAAATTAACATGTTATTTTTACTTACTAGGCTTCCGGTAAGGTTTCATGTTCTAACAACGGTGTCTGCTTTAAATATGTTAATACAGATTTAAAAACTACTGTAAATAACAATCGATGGCTGTTCTAGGAATCCGAAATTGAAGAGGCCCTTGGAGAGATTTTCACAGATGGAGGGTCTACACCACCTCAGCCCCAAACCATCAAGAAAAATTATGATTATGGCACCTTGGAATTACTGTACTTTTCTTTTTTTCTCCATTTTTAAACTTTGGGGGAGTGGGCCACTGAACATTGAAAAGTTGAAGAGGTAACCGTGGGTCCAAACCAACAGACAGAGTGAAAAATTATGAAATAAAGGAATACCAGACACAACACTCACAGACCAGAATAAACTCAGCACAAATGCAGTAATTTACTGTACAGATTTTTTTTATTTTTATAGAACCATAATTTATATAGCACCTTTCACAATCCGCAGATTTTTATAAGCGATTATACAAGGCGCTGGCATCATTATTTCTCTGGTCACTGGATGCTGAATTGGCAGATCCGCACATTGTGCAACTTTCTCTGCTCCCTGGGGGGGGTATCCCTGGTCATTGCTGCTTGAACGTGCACAACCCAACCCATACGTTTAATGCCATACCATCCCACCAGGTACCCATTTATAACTCCTGGGTGGAGAGAGGCAAACGTAAGTAAATTGCCCTGCCCAAGGAGACCAGCAATGCGATGAGCGTCGGTCTGGAATTCCAACACCTTACACGCTATGCCACACGTTCTACACACTACTAGGTTTGAATCAGAATTCCTTAAGTTCTCATGAACATATTGGCAGAGATAGTGGTTATCAACACAAACAAAATTACATACTTTGTTATAAGCTAGTACTCCAATGATTGCAGTGCCCATTCCAAATACGTTCATCGGCGTGACAGGGTTCCGCAGAAATATCAATGAACTTGTGATAATGACAATTCGTTTTGTTGCATTTGCAATTGAATAACTTAAAGGACTAATCAGAGAAATCACACTAAATGCAAATATATTCTGGGTGAAATTGAGTAATCCGCTAAGAAACAGCAACAACAGGGTTTTTGGCCAATTTAATGTTTCAATCTGTAAAGGTGAAAAAAGATTATTTATTATTATACTACCATCCTTCGCAGAAGCACCTCCATTTGATCTGTAATGCTTTTTTTTATTGTTTAATATCAATCGTTTAAATACAATGCATATCTCTATAATTTGCAATTGAGAAATTTTTGTCAGTCAGGAGCTGTCAAGAAGAGAGGAATAAAAATTTAAATAGTATCTAGGTAACGTATACTAGAATAAAATTAAATAAATACATTATTTATACCAGGCACTAATACCATATTAGGCACACTAGTCACTGGTAGCCAAATACAGTATTCTAACAAAGGATGGCTAATAATAATAATAATAATTAACTTCATAAAAAATGATCATTTCTTCTATTATATCGTGATACACGATTTCAAAATTAAGTGTATGGGTGTTGATAAAAATGAGAGTTACTTACTAAAACTTTATTGTTGTATATTCTAGTTAGGTCAACGTACATCCATATAGGAAGCAGCATAAGGGAAGCTAGCTGACCCAGGATCAGTAATAATCTCAAATGATGAATGTACAAATCTCCAATCGCCTGCAAACATACAGAAACCAATATTAAGATAACTCTAAATATATGATGCTGGTGAAGAGAAATGACCATTATTTGGCTGAAATATATAATATATATTATATGTTTCGGTACACCACAATAGACTATCTATGTGGTGTACCGCAAGCATTTAATATATTATTAATTTGCCATGCAAACCTTGAGACAGAAATATATAATTAAATCATGGAGGTATAAAAATAAACATAACAATATTCTACAAGAAAAATAAATAATAATGTTAAAAGGATAATAACATTGATAACAATTTGCAGGTTAATTTTCAGCCTTGACAATAAATAAAAGAACAATAATAATGAACGGTAAACAGATGGTTAGAATTATACATGTGGTTTTTACCATATGGCTAATAATCCGGATCAGTTCCAGGAAATAACAAATTTTTTGGTTAAGGTCCACTGATTTTATTGTGTCTATTGCACACCCATCACTAAAAGAGTGCTAATCATTGTCCCTGATACAAGCTATGATAAAGCACTGGTCCTCATCGATATCCCATAGTTGGCAGACCGGCGCACCCGACTATGCAGACAATACTTCAAGAAAATAAAACACCAATTACACAGACTTCACTCACTTTTACCAACTGCCACAACCCATAAATACAACCTCAGGTCCACACAACAATTCCATCTCCCGAAAGTTCGGACAGAACAGTCAAAAATTTTTATTATTAATGCTGGTCTTTTAAGAAAATGGTAGGTTGTCTCTGCATAGTCGTGTGAACTGCTCCAACAATGGCCGAAACGGTTCACTCTTTTTTGTAATCTTCACAATAACTAGTACGATAATAATAATAGTAATAATAATAATAATAGTAATAATAATCATAATCATAATAATAATCATAATATTATTATTATTATTATTATTACTTTGATAATAATTATAACTAATAATTATGATAATAATCTCTGTTTTGCTCTTTTGTGTAATTTTGTTTACCTTCTCCTTTTTGATATTTTTAACATTTCATGCAATTTTTAAATTTCTTATTTATGTGCAATTCTACTTTTTTTAGTTGTGAATAAAGTGTATTGTATTGTATTGTAATCTATTTGAGTTCATACTTTACAAAGTAACATTACAATGCATTGAAACTGGCTTTTCACAAATGGCAATGGTTGCCATGATGAGAATCGTTACCATGACATTGGTTGCTATGATAGTGGTTGACATGACAATGGTTGCTATTTTATTGTGTACTTGTGCGGATGATTGTTTCGGAAGAAAACATTTATGTCTCCTCGCTTTCGGTAAGACATTTGCAACAGAAGCTTAGGCCATAGCCTTCAGCTATGAATTTGGCCTTAAATTTGGGCGACAAAGAAAAAAGTGTAGTAAAAGCCACTTACCTTTTTTGTATAAACATTTTGAAGAGAAAAAGTTATTGTTGCTATGAGTGCGAAGGTGCCTCCTATAACATTGAAAGTCAACTCAGTTACAGTAGCTATCAAAACACCAAATATTATTGTTGCTAGAGCCAAATAAACCTAGAAGATGATGGGAAAGAATTTTTACATGAAATGAAAAATGAAGATTATAAGGGGAGAAATTATGAAACAACAAAAATGTTGACAATGTTGATTTTGACAAAATTGATTGGAAACTATATTATATGATTCTTTGAAAAAAATTAATTTGGAATGAAGAAACGGTTAATGTTGATTTTTTTTCAAATTCAAAATATCACTATTGTTAACATTCTACTTTAATATTTGGAATTTGAAAAAAAGAATCAACATTAACAGTATACTATATACTATATGATGATGTTTATATTGGTGGTGATGACTATTGTTCATCATAATGATTATGATGATAACATACACTACCATTAGACTGTGTAAAATGTTTAAAAAATTGTTATTAGGAACTTAATACACTTATACAAAGAAATCATTGTTTGCAATGTATATATTTACTCAGCTCAATATTTACAGATTGATTCAATCAAACATGCGAGTTTGTAACTTGATCTGAAGAGGCAAATTTTATTTAATATGTTTAATAAGCTCAATGTTTAGAGACTGATTCAATCAAACATGTGATTATCGTGGTCTGAAAAGTAACATCTGTTAAATTCCTTTAAATTACAACCTGGCAACTGACTATAAATGAAATCAATATTTGGCATCAATAACCAAATGTCATACACCATGGAGGCTCCAAGCATAATTTTTTTCTGTCCTCAGAAGCTGATGAACTGTGGCAAATGCAAGGAAGATTTTGGTTATAAAATTGATAATGATTGTAAAGAAAATGATTATGTTAGTGACAATGAATATGATAATAATATGCTGACAATGATATTGATAATGGTATGATAATGATGATAATATGATGATAATTATGATATGTTGATAATGGTAATAATAATGATGATGATGATGATGATGATGATGATGATGATGATGATGGTGATGATAATATGTATGCTGATAATGTTGATAATGATAATGCTTATAATAATAATGATGATGATGATGATGGTGGTGATGATAATATGTATGCTGATAATGTTGATAATGATAATTGCTTATAATAATGATGATGATGATGATGATGATGATGATGATGATTGTGATTATATGTATGCTAATAATGTTGATAATGATAATTGCTTATAATAATAATGATGATGATGATGATGGTGATGATAATATGTATGCTGATAATGTTGATAATGATAATGCTTATAATAATAATGATGATGATGATGATGGCGATGATAATATGTATGCTGATAATGTTGATAATGATAATTGCTTATAATAATAATGATGATGATGATGATGATGGTGGTGATGATAATATGTATGCTGATAATGTTGATAATGATAATGATTATAATAATAATGATGATGATGATGATGATAATGGTGGTGATGATAATATGTATGCTGATAATGTTGATAATGATAATGATTATAATAATAATGATGATGATGATGGTGGTGATGATAATATGTATGCTGATAATGTTGATAATGATAATGCTTATACTAATAATAATGATGATGATGGTGATAATAATATGTATGCTGATAATGTTGATAATGATAATTGCTTATGATAATAATGATGATGATGATGATGGTGATGATAATATGTATGCTGATAATGTTGATAATGATAATGCTTATAATAATAATGATGATGATGATGATGATGGTGGTGATGATAATATGTATGCTGATAATATTGATAATGATAATGATTTTAATAATAATGATGATGATTGTGATGCTTACCCTTTTACTTGCTTTTTCATTTACTATTATTCTTGATAAGATGACTGTGAATATTGGCATCATAGCTTTCACTGAAAATCAAGATATAAAAATATGAAATAAGCAGCAGAATGAATGAATGTTAACCTATTGTATAACAGCATCATCTTCACACATCATAGGACACAAGTATTTATATCACTGCACACTATACTAATGCTTTGAGCCCTGTCAGCGGTGGTTCCAGAAATTTGCCGACAAGGTAGGGTCCGACATTCCTGATGGAGGGCCTGAACCAAGGGGCTGACTAAAAACTTGGTCCGAGTCCCGGAATAAAAAATCCCTGGTAGGGTACACAGGGAGAGTTTTGACTTAATATGGTTCAAATTGTGCTTTTAGATGACAATATTAGGGATTGGAAATCAAAATAACGTATTTGGATAGACAATTTTACATTTTTTTGCAAATTTTTGATCTGATGACCTCATCAGGAGGGGAACCAATGCACCCTGCTGACTCCACCAGTGTGCCTTGTCCTGATTATCAAATTTTATATGGTAAAAATATGTGACATGCCTAAAATGGTCATGATGACATCACATCATGACCATATATAGGCACATCTTGCCTATATATGGGCATACAACAGTTTTGTCAAAGAAAATTTGTTGTATATTGCTACTGTTTGAAGATCTAGCATTACATACCATATATGAATGCATTAAATGTTACTCAGACCATACCATCCACTTAACCAACTTATAAGAAAATTAAATGAATAAAATATGAGAAAAGGTTGTATTCAAGACCATAGAGAACTATACCTCCATGATGAAAGTTAATCTCACAGGGTAAATTCTGTTGTTTTTTTTTCTTGATGCTATTGGGTTGAAGTTCTTTGTTATGGTTTTTCGATATAATTACAGTTACATAATTTTAATTGCTGTATGGTGTTAGTAAGTATTTAGAGTTACCATTACATTTGTGAATTAATAGTTTGTTTAAGGTGATCACAATGCAATCAAGTTTTGGTTGTGTTGACCCTTAAACTGAATTTTAAAAATTCAACGTTTTTAAGTAAAAGGTCCATAAATTAATTAACAAAGTATTTTACTTGTACATCAATAAAAAATTGTATTCACATAAATGAATTTTATTTCTCCTTTGTGAATTGTGTGTATCTTAAACCAATTGTACTAATTAGTAAGATTACTTCTCCATTACTGAAGGATTTCAACAATTAAGGTTACAAAAAGATGGTAAACTATTCATTCCTGTTCATGTCTGTCTATTCCTCTGTAATGGTCCTGTCACACCTTGACGATTTAGGCAGCATATGCCGACATATCAAAATTTCTCTAAAACGCTGGCTCACTGTACACCAAACTATCAATGTTTTTTCATTTTTGTGGGTATACATATTGTAGCGTATTCATAACGAGTTGGACGTATACATAACGTATTAGTAACTTATAGAACGTTTCGATAACTTATAGATAACTCATACCAATGACTGCTTAGCGTTGAAATGAATTTCAAATAAATCAATATATTTACCATTATTTATGTAGTAAAATTGTTCATTATAAATGACATGATCATAAACATATGTCATTGTTAAAATCGTAAATTCATCGAAGGCCTAATTAATAATATTTAAATTAGTAAAAATGGGTGAATAACATAATTAAATACTAAATATGTTTAGAATACGAATTGTTTGTACAATAAAATGCAGTAAATTCAAGAATATTTGAAGACTAACCTGTATGAGCAAACGATACTGACACATTTGCAATACTTAAATGAGAAGATATAGATGCAAAAAATTTTCCAAATGCCAATGGGAAAACAAGCATTAAAAAACGATGTTTATCGTGAATTTTCAGCTTCTCTACTTTCCGAAGCCGTAACACCGGTCCTAGAAAAAGTGCTACGCACAACATATGTACCATTGAGATCGTTATAGGATACGGAAAGTAGCCCAGAAGGCGTTTGTTGATAACATTTTGTCCTGAACTACTCGTGTACCAAATAGAGCAAAGAAAAACAATCCAACATCCTTCTTTATAGGCCTGATTTGTGATTTGCATGACGGTTTATTCAACAACTACTTCTCTTTTAATTAGTTTTATTGTTCATGCTTACGTTGACACTCGATACTGCTGTTTTATGTTGTGTTGACTTTTAAAATGATCTTTGACCTCATAGGTTCTCTGCGGTGTGTGGTGTATCGCGTTTGACAATGAGTTGCATAAAACCATGATAAAACGCATTTGTGATGGAGGCACGATCTTTGATCAAAGTCACTATAACAACTCCCTGATCAAAGATACTAGAAATACAAGATAGAGTTCTCGCATTGTAAAAATGAGGCGGAAGTCGTGCCCAACGTAGGCGGCGCCCTTCTTTTTAACCATGCAAGTTTCCTATACTTCGTGCCCAACGTACAGGGCGCCCTTC